CTCTGCCATTATGAAGCTCGGCTTAAAGACAAATCCCAGAGGAGGGGATTGTTCCAAAAGGACACAACCCAGAGGTGTTTCTGGTCTCCAGAGGTGTTCCTGGTCCCTACCTGTCGTTTTGCTCCTCAGCATGGCTCCCTAAAAACACTGCAGGATTTCTCAAACATGTATGAATGAGTCAAAGTAAGGCTTTGGGCATGCTTTTATAAGAGTATAACATTATAACATGATATAAAACTCAAAAAATTACATGACATTTCCCCTTTAAAGTTGTAAATATAACGTGAATAAGGAAACACTCTCATAACATCAGTAGATTTAAATAGTTCACATAAACTCAGCACTGATTTGTATGATGTGATCAGAGCAGCCCTGTCAACTGCATAATCCTTCAACTTGGCTGACTTTCACACTACAGAAACAGACCCGACACATACTAGCAGCAGAAAGTTTAAATACCATCAACAAACTACAAAAACATCTAATACACTGCACATTTCTGTGGATAATCAATGTGTTAAACATAGAAGAAGAAACACACAAGGTTAAGTGCTAAGTGCTGTTTTTGTTAATTTCAACTCTGTCTAGATTTCGTACCTATATAAGTTGAGGCTAGATGAGTTTTAATCGCTAAAACACCCAGTATTTACCTATTTATGTGATCAATTTGAAAAAGACATTATCTTTAAGTTTGTAGATAATCTCTTTACAAGCTCAAACATCCTTTTGTGTTACTCAATTGTCTATTTTAGGTGGTGTAGGTTTATAGCTTCACAGCTACTTGTTCCGAAACACCTGGACAGACTAAAAAGAGGGTATAATGAGAGGGAGAGGAAGAGATCATGGAAACAATCTCAGGAAAACAGCTGTGCTACGTCCAGCAAAGTAAACACAGGAAGTAAAATGTGCATCTGTGTGTCTGGGCGAAGGCGCACAAATTCAGGCAGTAGAAGAAGACAGTGCGTATGAGATGAGAGGACAAACTATTTCTATTTAGCAGTGAAGAGAAAACATTAGACAAATCTTTTAGTAGTTGTACATTTCCACAAACAAGATCAAAACATTGTGACCACTCTTGCCTAATATGCCACAAGACGTGGACTCTACAACACCTCTGAAGGTGCCTCGTGGTATCTCACACCAAGTTGGGGAATGCCGTTACTTACAGTTACAGACAGTGAGCTGGGAGGTAGAGATACTTCAGCTCAGGCGTCTTCTGGCACAACCCCAAACCCTCTCTCCTTCTGGATCTCTGTCAACAAGCTTTTGTTGTCTGTAGCTGAATGAGTTTCAAAAGGTGCTACGTACACACCGACTGACCTGTTTCTTCTTTTTGTAAGAATATTTCTCTTCTCTTCTTGACACAAAAAGACTAAATACAGACACTTCAAAGGGAGCTGGATTGTGCTTTTCCAACTGTAAGTCTGATCATCTAGTTCAAATCTGCACACGAGCACAAAGTGTGCAAATTATTAAGAAAGGAGTGATAAGAAGAAATCCATAGCATTATCACCAGTAAGAGACAGATAGAGCAAGAAAAAAAAAGAAGAAAGAAATCACTTGGCTCTAAGGTCAAAGAGTACATTCACCTATATGCTTCGAGATGATTTCACCATGTCAGGTCTGTGGTTTTCTTCCATACGTTACCCATCAGTTCACTGCATCTGCAGGAAATAATTTAATTTCCTTCATTCTTGGGTAGGGGGTCAAAGATTTCCATCTTTAGCACCAACCTATTGAATTTGTACTCCTCTGAGGTACACAGAAGGATACTGTGTTGAGAGCACGTTTATTTAATATGAGCGTGTAGAGATTGTCTCTGCTGCTGGTTTACAGTCAGGCCTAATGAAAAATGCTGGGAAGCAGGTACAAAAATAATCAGAAAAAGTGACAGCACAAAGCTGAAATACAGATCCCACTGGGCCACAAAAGCTTTGTGAGTCACTCTCCGTATAATGACTTCTGATGACAGAAGAGAGACAGAAAGACGCGTTATCAACAAAAGACAAACTCTTCCTTTAAACAGCTGTCATCAGAGTCAGAACTGTACACAGATGCTGTATGTCAAACAATAAAAGATGTGAACTCATTCGAGCTGAAGGCCATTGCACCTGGAAAGCTTTGTGGATATTTACATAATTTTTTTTTTATCTAAACCCAGAACTGAAGTAAGGAGGAAAGTATAGACCGATGCACGATAAAAATGTGTACACACAGGCTAAAACTTGATAATTCATGCAACTCTTTCACATTTTAGATAAAAATAATCAGGCAAACCGGTGCAATAAGTTTACCCCTGCTGAAGTTTGAACTATGACCCTTTTCACAGCTGAAAGACTCAAAAGAAAATTCATTCTAAAGTTTGACACTTTTGTTTGCATAGCAACAAGGTGAATTTGGGTTTTGCAAATTGGTTTAAAATCTATCGCTAATTTGGGAAATGCTGAAAAATACATCTATATAAATAAAATGATTGCATCTTCTAGATTTTCTACAGTGAATAGAAAAACCTTTTTTTTATTGCTGAAATCAATTCGGTAAACTCAGATTGCCCATTTTATCAAAACAAATAAAGAGCAGCTCGTTCTGTTTGCAGCAGCTGACAGAAAGACAATATTGTCCCGACTGCCAGAGAGGAGGGAAAAAAACTGTGGAATTTTAATCACTTAATCTGCTATTTAACTAAACAGCACAAAGGACAGCCTGAATAGGAGAACAGGCAGCTAACGTGGATGAGCCATGGCTTTTTGTAGGCCCTTCGTATAAAATAACGTGCCTTTATCTTACAGTAGAGGAGAATGAGCAACTGAAGAATCAACAGAGCCAACACACCTAACTGTCACACAAAATGTATGCAAACACACATCATAGCTCACATCTCTGAAAATGTTTGACAAATATGGTGCCACAAATCTGACCATTACACCCTGTTTTTGTGACTGTATTAATAATAAAACATCAATTTTTACAAAAAATAGCAGGATAACAGAAAATTTTAATTTTACTAAAATCCCAATTTATCACATAAACAATGTAAAATTGCCAGTTTAAATAAGACAATAATTTCTTTAAAATGCCATTTCATTAAGCTCTTAGGCCCCAAGGGGTTTTCTTGATGTTTTTGCTCGAAATACCATGCTGAAATGTAATTGAGTGTATCTCAGCATTTACAAACTTAACTTAATTAATTTTGGTAACAAAATAAAGCTAACACTTGGGAGATTTCACTATTAAAAGCATAAGTATTAAAACATCTGCTCTTGTTTTAGAGATATTGAGAATGGAACATCAATTTTTTAACATTTTTTTCCCTCCTGTCTGAACAATATTTGTATTTGACAGTATTTAACCATTTCAAACCTTACTGAATCAGGCTAAAAACTCTTGGAAACCATAAATCCACTTGAGGACATTACCTGTGCAATGATTCATGATGCTAAAATTAACTGGAGCAAAGTTACAGAGGTTTTAGTAAAGACATAATTTTGCATTTTGTCATTCTGCACAGGACGGACCATGATGGTCCCATTAATAAATGTTAAGAAATCTTAAGTTTTTAATTGCAAAAGTTTATTTTTTCTTACATAACTGAAAAGACTTGTTATTGGATGTTTGTTCTTTTGAAAAATTATCCAAACATTTATTTTTTCACTATATATATTATATAAAATAATGAGAAATTATATCTGAATTCAGTTGGACCAGATTCATTCAAAATCAAGTAAAAAATAAACTTTCAACACACTTTACAACCTATTTTAGTATCTGCTTTGACTTACCTTAAAAACAACTGTCAAAAAATTTTCCTTTACAGATTTGTTGTATGTATTTACAGATTTGCAATAATCCCATTTTGTACAGTTTGTTTACTTTCTAATTCAACTGCCTGTCATTTAAACTGTGTTTGGTGGATGTAAATGTAGTTTCCATGAGCTTTTAGCCAAGATTCTTAGCTTTCTATTGATACCAACAAACATGTAAAGGTTCAACTTACAGATCTTAAATTAACAGAAATTAAAAGATATAGAAAATGGGAAATGCTGTTTTTCTCAAGAGGTAATCACATCTAAATGAACATTTTCAAATAATATCCTAAAAACTTGTTTGTGTTGCAATCATTCAACATCTTTTTGGACAATAAAATATTTCAAAACAATGGATTGGGAGAGTGTCTTATAGATAAAATAAGCAAAAAACAAAACACTAATGAATCGAAAATGAAACCTTGATGATTCAATCACAGTCACACTTCTTCCTCACAATAAAGCTGAATGCTGCTTCAGTAATGCTGTTCTAATATGAATAGAATGAAAGTGAAAATGACAAGACAAGTAGTAGTACAGAGATTTTCTTTAGACGTTTTAACTCACAGGTTCTTGGACTTCTTCTTCTTCGTTCCGTCGGGGCTGACCTCGCAGCTACAGGGGGATCCGGCGCTCAGCTGAGGGGAGAGGAAGGAGAAGACACACTGCATCATCCAACCTCCACACTGAATTGAGGCCCACTTCGCTCATGGACGTAATTTACAGCTCCTACAGGCAACCAAGATAACATTTAAGCAAATAAGTCCTTAATGCATCCAGTTGAGATGGACTGATTGAAACCCACCCAGTGTGTCGCACGTACAGCAAGCCACCTAAACAGCTAATCCGCAGCAACAGTCCACATTGTAATTCCCACAAAGCTGACTGAGTATCTCGCTCAGTTAAAACTGAATGAGCAGCGGATGGTGGTTGTTACAAACAGTGTGCAACAATGTGAGGAAATTCGGTGAGAATGAGAGAGAGAGAGCGTGAAAGACTACAGCTGTTGTTTCTGTTGGCCTCCGGCTGCATCCGAGGTCTAAAGTGTTGAACCAGGACCGCCGGTTTCACATTACACCTTCTGCCAACCTGCCATTTTGATTGGTTTAGAGCAAAAGGGAAGTTGCTCCAGGGTGGGGAAGGGGTCATTCTCCAATAATCTGATGGCCTAAAGCAGTCCCATTGTGTGTGTGTGTGTGTGTGTGTGTGTGTGTGTGTGTGTGTGTGTGTGTGTGTGTGTGTGTGTGTG